TGTGAAGTAGAAAGCAAGAGCAGGACCTCTGTTATATATACAGATATATAAAATATATAAACAAACACACATATTTTGCTGGTGATGACAATTAAAAGTTCAGTGTGTAAGATTTAGGTGAAAGGACCAATTGATATTTAATATGAATTGATCTTTGTGATGTTTTCCCTGTGTGTTTCTTCTTGTACAAATTGTTGTTTTCTTTACCTTAGAATGGATCGTTTCTATTTAAATACTTTGTATCTCTTTATRTTATTATACGAGTTTCCATGACAACTGAAGCTACCACAGGTTCTCTCTGTTTGGAAGGAGAGGCTGCAACATGCAGCTTCACCACCAGATGTCACTTAAGTCTACACATTGTATCAGTAGTGTTGTATCACCCAGCCCTACCAAACCCCAAATATATATATATGGTATATATATCTCTCTCCAGCTGTCTGCGTCACGCCGAAGGCCTCTCACAGTAGCACCAAGCGACGAGATAAACGATGATAGATCCCCAAAAGATGTGGCAAACTCTTGCTCCAAATGCACAAGATGGAAGCTTTTGTGTCCTGGGTATGTTGGTGTAAATTCTGGACAGAGGGAGGAATTCTCCAAGTCCAGGATTCCTGGATTCGGCCCTTTGATAGTTTTACTGTGCGTGTGTGGGCGATCAAGGTAACATCTCACAATAGGCCCGTTTAAAAGCGCAACTCACGATATGATGATGCTACTATTTTTTGATCCAATTTGTGGCAACCACCTATTTACTTGTGTGTTATCTTCTCACTTAAAGGTTCATTGTGTAAAATTTAGGTGAAAGGGATCTATTGGCAGAAATTGAATGTCACATAATCCTCATGATGTTTTCACTAGTTCACTTCATCTAAATTATATGAATGTAGTTTTATGTACTGTTGAAAAGGCCATTAATATTTAAATACACCATATTTACATCGAGGGGGTGCTCTCTATGGAGGCTGCTTGTTTTTTACAGTAGTCCAGACCGGACAAACTAAACACCTTTTGAGGTAACTGAAGCTGCCACAGGTTCTTTTTCATGATTTAGAAGGAGAGGGTGAGAGGTGTTCAGCTGCAACATGCAACTTAAACAGTAGATATCACTAAAGTCTACACTCTGTACCTTATATATTTTAAAAAGGGACAACTGTGACATCTCTATTATGAATAAAAGTAAAGTGAAAGTTCTTCACCTCTTGACTGCTACTAAATATAAGTAAGTAATCAGTTTGGTATTCTTAAAACACGTGTGATGTTTCATGCCATTGTACTAGTTAATGTCTTGAGTGTTAATTTGAAGACAACCTGGCAAACAGGAAGTGATTCACTTTCTGTGAAGTCACAAAACAAACRACAGGAAGCTGAAGGTGTGAACAGTTGTTGATATGTGAGAATGAGTAGAGATGTGAATGAAATCAGAAATAATGTTAGTGTTGAAGGTCACCAAGTAAATTGACTCAACTGCTGCAGTACTTGTCAT